GAACATGCCAGATACTAGAAGGTACTCAGTAAATATTTGCTAGATTATAATCATTAGAATTTGCAGCTCGCCTATGGTTTCCAAACCAAAGCTAAGAGTTCTGCATTTAAAAGGAAGGAAAGTGGGGGGGGTGGACCCTGGGTGGCTCAGTTGGTTAAGCATCCAACTCTTGGTTTCGCTCAGCTCATGATCTCACAAGTTCGTGAGTTCAAGCCCCTCGTTGGGCTCTGCACAGGCAGTGTGGAGCCTGCTTGGGCTTCTCTGTCAATCCCTCTCTCTGCCCCTCCCCCCCACACACTGTCTCTGTCTCTCTCAAAATAAATAAATAAACTTAAAACAGAAGAAGTAAAAGGAAGGAAGGCAAGCTATAGTCCTTCAGCTTTTGTTGCCCCAAGAGATAAATGAGCACAGTGAGCATAGCCTCTACGAAACCCTCCAGCACTCCAGAAGGAACACTGCTCAAAGGCATTTAACCACAAATCACACAGACCTTGAGCCATGGAAGGGCCCCGCTTGGCCTCCCCAGAGCTTCTGCTCCACAGAGGGAGGGACCACACAGAAGCTGGTTCTCCAGAGTAGAACCTGCTGCCTGCTGGGCAAGGCTGGGTGCCTTCACGGTCATGACCTGCCCAGAGCCTGGCAGCTGGTAAGTGGGACAACCACTCACTCTCCTTTAAAATTCTTCAGTGGCTCTGTGTTACCTTCAGAAACACACTCCAGACTCCTTGGTAGAGTATCTCAGGCACCCCAGGAAAGGTACCTCCTCTCGGGACCAGGGCAATTCCTGGGATGGAGGTGCTACCTCACAATTCCACGCTCTGGCACATGCTTTTCCTTCCTCCCTGCCCCCACTCAATCTAATCCCTAGTTGTCCTTTAAGATTCCTGATAGGAATCCATCCTAAGAAAATAAATATGTGGGCAGAGATGTTTATTCAAAAGTAGTCCTACTGCATATCATTATTAAGTATGGCAGTAACAAAAACTGCTAACAACCTAAATGTTCAAAAAATATGGGAAAGGTTTAATAAACTATATTTCCCTTAAACTTAGGGTTACTAGTTGAGCCACACTTGGGGGTTTGCTGTTTTGTTTTGTTTTCTCGATCGCCAGCCCTAGTCTTGACCAGGCAACTGTAAATCTGTGGTCTCCACCTGAAGTGCCATGGAGGACCGCCGTGACTCCTTGTGAGGGGTGCGAATTTGTGGTTCTAGAGGTAGCAGGGCAAGCCTTTCTCTGCTTCCAGGGGCTCTTCCAAGGGACCATACTGCTCTAGCACACAGCCCTTTTGCCAGCGAGGAACCTGGTGAAGTTCCGTTTGATGGCATTTCCCAGGATGCCCCTCCCCTCGGGCTGGACTTTCATCCACTTCCACAGCAGGTGAGCATTGTCCCATTCACACAGATCTTGCAGAACATATCGAGTGTGACATTATGGTCAGCAGAGAGCTGCCTGATCTCCGCATTGCTCCCTGGCTGCTGCCTCCAAACTGGTTGCAAGGGAAGGCCAGGATCCGTAAACCGCGTGCAGCAAGCATATCGGGCATGCAGGTCGACAAGCTGAGTATAGTTGACGTCTGTTTTGCCTCACCCCGAGGCCACACTGGTGACGATGCACAGGAAGCCCTGGTACTTGCCCAGGTGAACCATGTGCCCACCGATGACCTCGTCTGAGAACTCCTGCAGAGACTGAGTACAGAGTCAGTGGTCTCAGGACACGCACATGGTGCGGGGTGGGCTGGGCTTGGCCAGGGCCCCGCACAGCAGTGCCGGCTTCAGCAGGCAGCACGGGTGGCTGAGGTTCACATCTACAACCGCATCTTTCTGAGTCTGCTGCCAAATTACCAGCACTCGAAAGAACGCCATTCTATTTGTTAGGGTTATGCTGTAACAAATAACCCCCAAATTTCAGAGTTTTTTTCCTCACCCACATAAGTATTCCAGTGAAGGTGTGCCCGGTTAGCAGGTGGTTTTTCCTCCACTCAGTGATTCAGGAACTCGGACCCCTTCCAGCTGTGATTCTTCCAACCCTAAAGCCTCAGAGTCTAGCAGATGGAATGAAAAAGTGTGGTAAAGTCGCCTCTTAACCAATTTGGTCTGCAAGTGACACACATCGCTGCCAGTCCCATTCAGTTGGTGACTAGTCAGAGTCCCACCTACGTGTAAGGGCTGCCTGGAACGTAATTCTCAGCTGATCGGCCACAGCCCAGCTGAACCTCTACACTTGGATGGGAAGAAAGCATCTTTCTGGCGGACAGGCTGCCCTCCACGCTACAGCTACAAACCCCAGAGGTTAAGTACCACTGGGTACCAGGTTTTGTTTCCACACGGAGAAGACGGACTACTGCCTGAGCAGTGGAACAATGCCCCCTGTCCCTAGCATTTAGTGCACTAGAACATACCAGAGGCCCGGTGGCTTAAACATGGCCTTCACTTTGCTCTAGGGACCACACTGCCTCAGGTTCCCGTTCCTTGGATGGCTGTTAACCTAAAAATAAAAGGGCCAATTTTATTACCAGCAAAAATGGGTTTATTTGGGAACAGCAGAGAATTACAAACCAGGACAAGCAAACAATAGGCAAGTCAGGAGAACAAAGGAGAGGACCACTCTTTTATAAAGGAAATTAGAAGTTCAGAAGGGCTGTTATAAACATCAAGTCCCTTGGAGTAAACTGGAGTTTGAAGCGTAGTGGCTTTTTGTTGGCTGAGTTGTGACAGTCTCTCACTGGCTGGGCTGTTGCTGGGGGAGGAAGAAAACCTTCCTCTCTCCTGCCTGGATGGTGAAGTGGTATCCACCTGCGGGTCCCTCTCCCTGTTCCATCTTCAATCGATGAGTGCTAGGGCATGAACACTCCTCCTGCTGGCCTCCCTACTCCGTTTTCAACATGATATCCTTTTATTAATTTTCACATGGCCATTCTATCTGTTCTCTTCCCACAACTCCCCTTCCCCCTACGGCCCCACCATCATTGCTGGGCAGCTCCAGCTCAGGCACTGCTGCCTGATCTGATTGGTTGTCACTAGTGACACAGAGTTGACTCCACTGTATGCATGTGGTTTACAAGGCACAAGTACGTTCTCAAGAAAGAACTGCCAGGGACCACTTCTTCTAGAAGGAAATTTATAACCATGGTAGATATTTAGGATTTTATGGACCTACCAGTACAAAGTCATAAAAAACTGCACAAAGGCAGAGATAGCAGCCATCCTACTGACCATTTTCACCACTGTATCCTCAGCACTTAGCAGTGTTTCAGAAACCCAGGTTCTTCTGTCTTTGGAGCTGCAGCTACTAGGACCTGGGAGCCCTCAGAGTCTGGCACCAGCTGGAAGAAGAAGAGAATAAAGAAGCTACCGTGTAGTTGAATAGTTACTTGTTGAATGGGGAAAAAAAGAATGAGTGAATAAATAAGCATGTTCTTGATAAATATTTAATGACAAAAGAGTAAAGATAAAGTATTATGGGACAAAAATAGAACATGTAATTCTATAATCATAGTGATCACAATTTAGAAATCTCACATCAAAAGCAAAAGTATATATATTTACTTTTTTTTTTTTTTTTTTTTTTTTTTACAGTCTTCAGCACTTCTTACCCCTTCACTAAATAAATACTATCCAGCCCACCAAAGGACTAAATAGCAGTTGTCACATGGCTGTTTGCCAGTTCAGGCTCATGTGTGACAATTCTTCAAGGAAAAGTGGATGTACTCCATTGGGGTAGAGAAGGCTTCTGAGTTCATTCTTCCTACTGCATTGCATCTGGAACTTTTTCTTTGCTGCCCACTTTTCTAGTGAGCAAGTTTTATGTTTGGGGAAAGGTGAGAGAGACAGCCTGGATCCAACTCATTCTTTCTGAAATCACTTTAGGGATCAACTTCAAGAATAACCCTGGGTTCGGGGCGCCTGGGTGGCACAGTCGGTTAAGCGTCCAACTTCAGCCAAGTCACGATCTCGCGGTCCGTGGGTTCGAGCCCCGCGTCAGGCTCAGGGCTGATGGCTCAGAGCCTGGAGCCTGTTTCCGATTCTGTGTCTCCCTCTCTCTCTGCCCCTCCCCCATTCATGCTCTGTCTCTCTGTCCCAAAAATAAATAAATGTTGAAAAAAAAAATTAAAAAAAAAAAAAAAGAATAACCCTGGGTTCAAGTTTTAAAATCCACCCCACTCACTGCAAATCTATTATATATAATAGATGTATAAAAAGACTAGAAAAAAAGACATAAAAAGTACTTATCTTTGGTTAATAGGTTTACAAATAATTGTATTTTCTTTTTCATACATTGCTATATTTTCTAAACCTTTTATAAGAATGTAACCTTTTTGCAATTAGATTTCAAATTCACAATAAGTGTCTTTTTTTTTTTTAGGTTTATTTCTTTTGAGAGAAAGAGTACACACACACATGTGCAAGCAAGGAGAGTGGCAGAGAGAGATGGCGAGAATCTCTGCACTCAATTTCACATGCCCTGAGCCAAAATCAAGAGTTGGATGCTTAACCGACTGAGCCACCCAGGTGCCCCAAGTCATTGTTATTTTTTTAAAATTTTTTTAACGTTTATTCATTTTTTGATAGAGACAGAGCATGCGTGGGGGAGGGGCAGAGAGAGAGGGAGACACTTCTGTGAAGCAGGCTCCAGGCTCTGAGCTGTCAGCACAGAGCCTGACTCGGGGCTTGAACTCATAGACCACGAGATCATGACCTGAGCTGAAGTCGGATGCTCAACTGACTGAGCCACCCAGGCGCCCCCATCATCGTTATTTTTTAAATGGCTGTCAAATGTTGCCTCCTCCAGGAATTGTTCTGTGACCACTCCAAGGGTCAACATTCTCAAAGTATCCCCTAGTGTCCTCTACCATTCACTGGGAACACTGGATTTTGACTGCTTATCTATCTCCTGACAAGACTTGAAGATCTTTGAGGGAAGAAACTGAGTCTTTAATGTCTGAGTCCTCAGGGCCTACCTAGTACAGAAACTAAGCATTTGTAAAGGTTTGTGGATCAAATGAAGAACTCAAGTAAGTGGGAGTGTAGAAACAGGTTGTTCTCATTCTAAATTCAGTTGCATCTTCCCTGGGACTAATGGATCCAGGATTTTCTCCACTCTTGACTGTACCCTGGGGCCTGGGAAAAACTTGGGAAGCATACAGCAAGATTTTGAAGAACAGCCTCCCTAAACAGTCAGCACCAGGGTTGCATGAACCTAGCGTGAGCGAGAGCTTAAATTCAAATTGGGGTTTCCTAGCAAGAGCCAAGATCAGTCACATGGTGGCACTTAAAGGATTCCCTGAGTCTGCTCATTCCTTTGGGATCACTCACTCCTCCCAGGACCTCCCCTGGGAACAAAGGAAAACCCAGGACTTGGGACTTTTATAGCTGCTAGTAGTTTGCATTTAACCCTAACCACAATTAAAATAAATGGGGGCGGGGGAACACTATCCATCCAGTAGGAGACACTTAGGTTTTCTCTAAATTTCTTCCAGAAATTTCTCCTAAAGGGCTTTGAGAACCAAACAAGCCAATTACAGGACAAAAAGGAGGCTTAGAAACTTTGGTCTTAACAATGCCAAGCTGAGTTTTCCACCACGTAAAGCCATCCCCAAGGAGGGGTAAATCCCTTGTTGAACAAAAGGTTTGTATCCACGGCGCCAACAAGCCAAGCGGCACTCTTCATACCCCACCCAGAGAGACGGGCACCAGGAGTAGGTGGAGCGGGGCTCAGGCCACGAAGACTCTCGGGACTGAAATCCTGAGCCTAACACGAGAACTAAGACCATCCTGCGACGGTTAGGACTCCACGTGCCCCTCCCAGCAGTGTTGTCTAGAAATTAATTCCTGGACCTGTAGGTTACACCGGTTGTGGGGCAGCGCGCCCCACCCGCAGAACGGCTGGATTGAGGACTGCGCCTTCCCTCTCTAAAACCAGACCCGAGAGGAAGGGCACGGCCCAGGGCGGGGGTGTCCTGAACCATCCGAGAGCCCTGGAGCGGGGACGGACGTGCACAAGAACGCTCTCCGCCGAGGTGACAGCGGGCGGGGGCTGGGCGTGAGGCCCACGGCATCGCCTGGGAGGGTGTGTGCCCGCGCGGGGCGCGGGGGGACAGGAAGAGGAGGGCGGGGAAGGGGTGGGGTGAGCAGGGACCGGGACACCGGCCCAGGCTCCTCCTGCCTCCCCTCCCCACCCCCACTCCCCATACTAAGGCTCCCAGCCCGCCACGCTCTGCTCACTGGCCCGCGCGTCCCAGCCGAGCGAGAGTCCCCGCCGCGCCTCCAGCCAAGGTGAGTTCAGCCCGCTGCTCCCGAGCCCCCCCCCCCCCCCGCCCGGCCGCGACCCCGCGCGCGGGGAAGCCCCCCCATCGGCTGCCCCAGCGCCGGGGTCCGCTGGGCGCCCGCCGCTCCGCGCCCTGGGCCACACCCCGGCGAGACCGGCAGCGCCCCTGCCGCGATCCTCGCGGAGTGGAGGAGGGGCGCTCGTCCTCCGTACCGGACCTCCGTGTCCACGCCTGGGGCCTCTGCGCTCTCCTCCCTTTCCGTCGATCTCTCCTCACTCCCACTTTCCTGCTTTTCCACTCGTCACCCGAGCTATTCGTCCCGTCCTGGCCGGCATATGCGCTCGCTCTGGCTGCAGGCTGACCTCTGTCCAGATGTGTGCCGCCTCCCCCGAGCTGGACTGCCCGGCAGCCAGCAGATCCCTTCCTAAAGGGCACTGCTCAGTCCCTCGCCCTGATGTTTCAGGTTGGGCTTCCTGTTGTTTGTCTGCCAGACAGGAGAGGGGGAGGTCTATTTGTTTTCTTTATAAGCCTGGCTAGCGAGATTTGGGGGGGAGGGGAATATATGAAGGGATTTCTCTACTCAAACGATTCCCTTCTTGCGATCTTAATTACACAAGTGGAACTATAAAGAGGGGGAAGAGTAGGTTTGATGAAGGACCTCCCAACCCAGATTAATCTGGCCCAGTGCAAAGAGACAGATAGACCTGCCCTTGGTACCTGGTCACCACTTTGAGCTTGGCCAAAGGAATGTAGCTTCCTCCAGCCCTGGACGCTGCTAACTGTCCATCTAGACTCCAGCTAACTGAAACAGGGACTCTGGCGTGTCGGGTGGGGCTGGGGAGGAAGGTAGAGCGGCTACAAGCTGGGCAGAGCCCTTAGCCCAGACTCTGGAACACATTAAGCCTACACCCCCTTCCCTCCCCAGGGGAGCTGAGAGCATTGCACAGGGCGTGGTTAGCACAAAGGGCTCCCAGATCCCCTTAGTGCAGGCCGGTGACTCAGCTGTGAGACCATGTGGGTGTGGTCCGCAATGGTTCCAGATACTCTCTGCAGATGGCCGGACAGAACACTCCCTAAAGGAAAAGGGGAACTGTGCCATCTCAGAGGGCATTTTCCAAGAGGAAGTGAGTCACACCAGGACTGGCTGGCAATCTGAAGGAGAGGTTTCTTGACTGATCCGTCGGTGAGGGCAGCAATTAGACTGGCAGAGCCATGGTAAGACACAGCACTATCGGATGATTGGCCCGCGTGCCTGCTGGCAGGTGGCCTAAGCTTCACTAGTGAGGTAGCTGTTCCCGTCAAGAGGTTTGCGGTAATTGCTGCAGATTTTTTCCCCCTGCAGCTTGAGATTCAACCTGCAGCAGCGGATCTTTACATCCTGAACTTCAGGTGAGGCCAGGCTCACGGAAACACGCCGACGGACAGAGATCTTTGCCTCCAACATGTTTCGGCAGATTGAAAAAGATAATACCAGAGGCTGGGGCAGAAATGAGTTCATGTAACTCATTTGAAATGTCTTCATGCATTCTGCCCCTACAGATTCCTATCCCATTTGTATTTAATTGTCTCTCCTAAATGGTATACACCTTCCTTGACAGCCAGAAGCTACTTTCTTCATCTGACCTATTATTTGGAGTTTATTTCAGGTCTTCAAATTTTCTTAAAGGTGCACTGGACATAAACAAAGTACACTGATTTCTAGGTGATGTTTTTCCCTGGTTTCTCTTGCAAACAATGTCAGATGGGCCCTCTTCCTGCCGTGCTTGGCCTCTAACCTTAGTCTCTTAAGCAGCCACCCCAGTGAGGTCAGGCCTTGGGCTGGGTGGAGCTGAAACTGGGTGCCTTCCTGCTTTCCAATGACAGTTCCAAAAATGTGGCTTTTTAAGAGCACTACCCACTTGGTATGCCCTTGGACACAGTACAGTCTTTCAAAGTTGAGGGAAACAATGGAATCCTTTCAGGTTATGATGTATAAATTAGCACTCTGAGTGCAGGGAAAGCTGAAATGAAGTTTTAGCATCTTTCTTAAGCTTCTCATTTTCCTGGGGACTTAATGATTTAGGAATCTCGTATCAAAAGTAAAAAGAATGAACTCACTTATTTTTTTTAAACAATTTTCAACACTTCCTACCCTTTCACTAAATAACTACCACCCAACCCACCAATGGATTTGATAGCAGTTGTCACAATGGCTATTATTTGCCAATTCATGCTGATTGTCTGACAATTCTTCAAAGAAACATGGTTGTACTCCACTGGGGTAGAGAAGGCTTCTGGGTTCTTTCTTCCTATTGCATTACATCTGGAATTTTCCCTCTGCTACCTCCTTTTTTTAGTGAGCAAGTTTTATGCTTGGGGAAAGGTGGGAGAGACAGCCTGGATCCAGATCCATTGCCTCAACTTTTTTTCTGAATTCTCTTTAGGGATCAAATTTAGGAACACCTTCTGTGTTCAATTAAAAAAATTTCTTTTCTTTTCAAAATCTCCACAGCAAAAGAAAGGAAACCCTAAACACATTTTAAATAACAGATGTTTGTTTTTACTGACACCCTGCCAATTATTTTCTGGGTGGGCTGCAAGAAAACTAGGGTATGGACAAGACACAGAAGAGCAAAGTAAATCAGGCCTCTTGCTCTTTAGAAGTATCCTTTTTTGAAATTACGGTCTGGATCTGGGCATGGATCCAGAGCAAACATTTGGGATTGCTCAGGAGCAGACACATTTCTAAGGAGGCTCCCTGCTACTCCCAGGAGAATCAAAATGTACATTGCTGTCAATTTCATTCTTACCAATTCATTGAGCAGGCTGTGATGGCAGGTTGCTACCTACTGGGACCCTGATCAAGGAGCTCACAATCTAGTGGGAGAAGAAACAGAAACACAATTAACTAGACTTTTTAAATAGTATGCCATTAGCTGGTGAACTCCCCCAAAGGCAAGCACCATGGAGAGAGAGACCGTGTGTGTGTGTGTGTGTGTGTGTGTGTGTGTGTGTGTGTGTGTGGGAACGCACCAGCCTAACACCAGACATGCACAGTAGGTGCTCATTTTAAGAGGACAAGAAATGGAAAGTTTAATTCCCATCACTGTGACTAAATCTGTGGAGTCCAGAATTCTTTTCTATAAAGAAAAGTACACTTGGGGCGCCTGGGTAACTCAGTTGGTTAAGCCTCCGACTTCACCTCAGGTGAGATCGTATCTCAGTTAGTGAGCTCCACCCCCACGTCTGGCTGTGTGCTGACAGCTCAGAGACTGGAGCTAACTTTGGATTCTGCATCTCCATCTCTCTCTGCCCCTCCCCCACTTGCCCTCTGTCTCTCTCAAAAATAAACATTAAAACAAATTAAAAAAAAAAAGAGAGAGAGAAAACTACACAGAGAAAGACTACAGAGTTCTGAGCCCCCATCTTACCAAGGCAAACAGGTAGGGAGGTTACACAGACATCAGAATAAAATGGTTCAATAAAAAATGAGAAAACGATGAGGTAGTTATAGCCTGTGGGGCTCACAGTGAGAAACAAAACACAAGAAAACAGCAGGAGTCAGAAGAGAAAGAAGTCCTGTTCAGGGTCTGGCCAGACCTGTTTAGCAGGACAGTTTTTCCCTGCACTCCTGGAATGCGCTTCCCTCTGAACTCTACTGATGGATTCACAGGGCCCCTGGGCCCCTTCCCCAGCCCTTCCCAGCCTCACGTCCTTCTGCTGGGCTCTGAGCTACACAGTTTTCAGTCCAGACCTGAGTGGTCACACAGGTACTTCGGGCCCTGCCAAGGGGTTTGTCTGACTTATTCATTTAGCAGATGCTTATTTTGTGGTTCATAGACAGAAACATTCACAGTTCTTGACGTAGAGGATCTTAAATCTGAGAGGCCAACAGGAAACCGATTAAAGGGTGTTTCAAATGCAGGAGTAGCTTGTCTCAGGCACAGAGAGGACACTGCCATCCTCTTGCCATCCTCTCGGCTGCAGGCCCAGGCCCCCATGAGAGCTTATCAAGCTCTTGCCCAGGAGTGGAGCATGTCAGGCGGCTGGGAAGATCCAAGTGCCAGATTCAGGTCCCTGGGCTTGCGACTTTAGCAGCCAATGGTCAGCCCTACAGTCTGCCCCACCCAAGACCAGAGGGCTGCCAACTCCGTGGGAGAGCTCTGTGACTCCTCCACTGGCCAAGAGAACACTTCTAATCCTCACTGTCCCCGCTTTTCCTTCGTCTTACTTTAAAACCAGTGCACTGGCTCCTCCTTCAGAACAATAAGTTGCTCGTTGCCCTTTTCAGTGCTCTATGGGCACTGGTCCCCGATAAGACCATGGGCATCTCCTCTGGTGTCCAAAGTCAGTTATTTCACCTTCATGAACTTAGATTCCTGGCTAGTCACTGTTCTGCATTCTCATTTCAAAAGGTCTACCTGACAAATATGGAGTCAGCTGGGTGCCTGCCATACTCACATACTCACGGCCCATGTGCTGAATAAAACAGCAAGTGGGTAAGGAGGGGTAGGACTGGAAGGACCCGGGGCAGGGGACTGGAAGGACCGGAGACCTGAGCGTTCACTCAGGGAAGACCGGCCTCATTTTCTTGAAGAAGATACCCTAGGGTGGCCAAGATTTCTTCCTGCTTACAACTTGTGTTTCTTACAAGTTCCTAAATCGGCCTGTTCCCCTATTATAGCGGTCCTTACTCTACTACTGCGTCCCCTTTCTTTGTCTTCTGGCTTTGTGGTGCACTTTCCTTCTGCTCTGTTCTGTGGAGAAGGTGAACAGGGTGTCTGGCAGCCAATGCAGTTTCTGGCATCTTTGGGAACTGGTTGTGAAATACCCTCCCGCTCTGAGCTTAGACACAGGTATTTTTACACCTCTGGTCTCCAACTTCTTTCCTGAGTTACTTCAGAACTAGGGTGGGTTCCCACGTCTTCCTCCCGTAGGTGGCTCATTGGTTCAGTTCTCTTACACTGCTGGACTTCCAGAACAATCCAGGCAAGGGCAACTCCATCTCAGCACTGTGGACTGCCCTCTGAAACCACAAGGGCTGTGTAGGAAGAGAGGGGAAAAGGGTGTGTCTCCCCTGGAATTCATCTCACAGCAAACGCTGAAGCATTAATTTGCTGATCTCTCCAAGAGAACTGCCTTTCAGATGAATCATCCCAGATCCTGGCATATAGCATTCTCTAGAGTAGCACATTCTTTGGCATGCTGGTTCCTGCACTTTTCTGGGGATTAAGGGGGTAGAATTTACAATTCCCTAAGTATAATTACTCAATCCCTGGGGTCACCAACTAACTCCACCTTCTCTGTAAAAGGCAGCATTTAGGAATCTGTGTTGAACACAGATCTGTCAGCAGCAGGAACCAGACTGAAATCAGCAGGGAAAGGTACTAGCCTCTCCTTCAGCCTGTGCTCAAAACCTATTCTTGTGAGGTGTTTTTGTTGTTTTGTTTTATTGTAAGTGGTATACTACAGTCTCTATTCAAGTTAACCTGTTATCTATCCACTAGTGATCTTAGGCGGTGTTAGCCAACAGTGCTCTGTTCTGGCCATAGCATTCCTTCCAATTAAGCCAAAACTCACCGAGTTCCTATTAAGTACCGGGTGTATGCCCCAGATCATTATACATAACTATAGTGATCTGATATGCTTCCCTTCCCTCCTTTCAAATACTTTCTGATGGAAAGCTCTTGTTCTTTGTCCTTCCTGCCAAAAACCAGGTCCCCAAAGGAGTCCTGACTCCTGTTACCTGTTCCTTTTCAAGAAACTAGATAATGAGCTTTGGGTAGCTTTGAGTAACAGCATTTTACTGCCGGAGATGCAAATGTCTGTACTGCAATCACAAGTTCACACCTTTAGTAAAAAATACACGCCCAGCAGACAAAATTCATTTGTAAACGGGTTGCTAAACCTAGACTTACACCGAACCAGGTTACCTACTTAACCTTGGAGGGTTGAAGTTTTCAGTATTAACCAGGCTTGACTGTGTGGGTGGTTGGTATCAGCCATGTCTAAGAGTCCCATCTGCCAGTGCCAAGAGAAAAGATGAAACGCCTGCTCTTTCTGCAGATGCTTTGTCTGTTAAACAGAGGGACATGGACCTTGCTTTTCCAAATGATCCAAATGATTAGAGTTTTTATTCCTCATTAGGTGATTTATGCAGAATTAGTGGGCAACTAGACAAATTCCTCATTCAGAGCACCAATACCTGAGGTACCTGCTTCCATCAGCAGGGGGGTGAACTGGGCCTCAGAGTCGTTGAACTTTAGAGCCGAAAAGTGTCTGATGGATGATCTACTACTCATCTTCCTTCTAGTTACTTACAGAAGACTGGCAGTATGTGTGGCTTAAAAGTTAATGTAAACTCTTTCTTTACATCTTTTAAAAGGTTTCAACAAACCTCATCAAAATGCCGTCTCAAATGGAACACGCCATGGAAACGATGATGTTCACGTTCCACAAGTTTGCTGGGGACAAAGGCTACCTAACAAAGGAGGACCTGAGAGTACTCATGGAAAAGGAGTTCCCTGGATTTTTGGAAGTAAGTGCTGAAAGGCTCAGAAAGAACCAGACACGAAAACCAGTGCTTCTAGCCCCTGGTTGCTTTTCCTTCCTCTTCCCATCCCTTCCCTGTGGAAGCCACTAGTAGAAAGGTGTCCTTGTTCATTTATTCATTTATTATTCATTTATTAAACATTATTGAGTGCCTCCTGTTTGTAAGGTACTGT